GGAAGGAAGGAAGGAAGGAAGGAAGGAAGAAGGAAGGAAGGAAGGAAGGAAGGAAGGAAGGAAGGAAAGAAATAACAGCTGAAAGCTTCCCAAATTTGGCCAGAGATACAAGCATACAGATTCAAGAAGTTTAATGAATCCCAAAAAGAATAAATTCAAAGATTTACCAAGACACATTATAGTCAAACTTCTGAAAACTAAGGACAAAAAAAAAATCTTGAAAGCAGCAAGACAAAAATAACACCTTACATATAGGGAGGAAGCAATTTGAATGGCAGAAGACTGATCATAAGAAACCATGGAGGCCAGCAGAAAGAAGCACAACATTTTCCACGTGTTGAAAAAGAGAAATGTCAACACAGAATTTTATGTCTACGAAGGATATGTCTATCCTCCCAGAATGAAGGAGAGATCAAGCCATTCTTAGGTGAGGGAAAGCTAAGAATTTATCACCACATACCAACCCTAAAACAATGGCTAAAGGAAGTTTTCTAAGCAGAAATAAAATTATAGAAGAAGGAACTTTGGAACATCAAGAAGGAAGAGATTAAAATGTTTAATAGTAAAAATATTGGCAAATACATTTTACTTTTACTATTGTCTAAGTTATGTTTGATGATTTAAAAAACCATAACAGTGTCTGAAATGTGTGTAGAGAAATTATACAATTATAATATAAACAAGGGAAATGAGAGGTAGTGAGGGGTGTAAAGGGACTTGAAGGCAGGTAAGGTTTTTACATTTCATTCAAGCTGATAAAACGTCAACACCAATAGACTGTATAAGTTGTGTATACATAATGTAATACCTAGAGAAAACGCTAAAAATACTGTACAAAGGGATACTCTCAAAAACACTATAATCATATTGGAACTCTAAAATATTCAAGTAAGCCACAGGAAATCATGAAAAAATAAAACAAAAACAAAAAAACCAGAGAGAACATTCTTTTTGATGGCTGAGTAATATTCCATTATTTATATATATATATATTATATATAACTATATATATTATATATAATATATATATTTTATATATATGTGTGTGTATATGTATATATATATATATATATATACACACACACACACACACACACACACACACACACACACACACACACCACATCTTCTTTATCCATTCATCTGTCTATGGACATCTGGGCTCTTTCCGTATTTTGCAATGATGTAGATGGAACTAGAGGGTATTACACTAAGCAAAATAAGTCAGTTGGAGAAAGATAAATACCATATGATAAATACCATATGATTTCACTGATGTGGAATTTAAAAAAACAAAACAGATGAACATAGGGGAAGGGAAGGAAAAATAAAATAAGATGGAAATTGAGAGGGAAGAAAACCATAAGAGACACTCAACTCCAGGAAACAAACTGAGGGTTGCTGGAGGGGAGGTTGGTGGGGGGAAGGGATAATTGGGTGAAGGGCATTAAGGAGGGCACATGATGTAATGTGCACTGGGTATTATATGCAACTGATGAATCACTAAATTCTACCTCTGAAACTAATAAGAAATACAGAGAACAGGAAAAATATAAAATAGCAGATATAAGCCTGAAATATCAATAATTACATGTGTAAATATATAAGTAAATCCATGTGTAAATTATATAAGTGATATGGTCTAAATCTACCAACTGAAGAACTGAGATTAACAGAGTGGAATAAAAAACATAACCCCACTGTATACTGTCAATAAAACACCAACTTCAAACAATAATATAGGCAGGTTGAAGTAAAAGAATGAAAACCAATATACCATTCAAATACTGAATTCTTTCTCCTTAAGATCAGGAATAAGTTGTAGATGTCCCATTCCATTTCAACACTATATTAGAAATTCTAGCCAGTCCAACAAGAAAATAAGGGAAATAAGAGACAAATAAATTGTATACAAAATAAAACTGTCCCTATTTACAGATGACAAGATTGTCTACACAGAAAATCCTAAGAAACCTACTAAAAAACCCTCAGAAAATAACAGTTCAGCAAGGCCACAGGATACCAGCTAAACATACAAAAAAATCAGTTGTATTTCTATACTAACAATGAACATGAACACATAAGATACCAAAATTAAAAGCACCATATCATTTACATTGCCAAAAAAGTGAAATATTTATGTCTAATTCGAACAAAATATGTGTAGGACTTTTACATTGAAAACAAAACACTGATGAAAGAAATCAAAGAAGATCTAAATAAATGGAGAATCATACTATGTCCATGAATCAGAAGATTCAACATAATAAATGTCAATTCCCCCTCCCCAAACTGATACACAGCTTTAACACAATTTCTATCAGGATTCCAGCAAGATTTTATTTGTAAATACAGACAAAAGATTCTAAAGTTTATATAGAAAGGCAAGGTAACTAGAATGGTTAAACAATTTGGGGGAAAAAAGAATACAGTGAGAGGACCAATTTCAATATCTATTACATCGCTACAGTAATCAAGGCAGTGTGTTTTCAGCAAAGTGACAGACACATAGATCAATGGAACAGAACATGAACTCAGAAATAGACACACACAAATATGCCCAGATGATTTCTGACAAAGGTGAAAATTGCAAAACCAATTCAGTGGAGGAAAGAGAGCCTTTTTAACAAATGGCGCTAGATCAGTTGCAATCCACAGGCAAAAACAAAAACAGAAAAAATGCCTAAATCTCACACCTTATACAAAAATGAACACCAAATAGATCATAGACTTAAATGTAAAATGTAAAACTATAAAACTTTTAGAAAAAAAAATAGGAGAAAATCACTGGGGACTAGGGCTAGGCAGAGTTCTTAGACTCGACACCAAAAACAAGATTGATTGAAGGAAAAATTGACAAATTGGGTTTAACACAATTAAAAACTTTTACTCTGCAAAAGACCCTATTAAAGTAATGGAAAGACAAGCTACTGACTGGGAGAAAATATTTGAAAACTACACAACCAACATAGGACTGGTATCTAGAACATATAAAGAACTCTCAGAACTTAACAGCAAAATAGAAAACAACCTTATTTGAACATGAGCAAAAGACATGAAGAGACATTTCACCAAACATATCTATAGGTGGCAAATAAAACAAATAAAAAAAGTACTTGTTAAATAAAAGTACCTCATACCAGCGTTTTTAAAAGTCAACTTTAAATGATGAGAGACCTAAAGGTAAAAGTCAAAACTGTAAGATATTAGAACATAAAGAAAAATAACTTTATGTTAGAATAGATAGGAATTTCTTAATCCTTAAAAATCACTGAGTGTATTCACAAAATGGAATTCCTGGGCCCAAAACCCTAAGGATCATAGAAGTTCCACCAAGGTATCACTACTCTAAAAGATCCAGCTGATCTGTCTTCAATACTCCATCTCTGTTTCTATTTCAAAGATATTTTGAAACATATTAAAATGAAAAAGTTTAGGGAAAGAAAAAGAAAGAAGAAAGAAAGAAAGAAGAAAGAAGAGAGAAAAGAGAGAAAAGAGAGAAAAGAGAGAAAGAAAGAAAGAAAGAAAGAAAGAAAGAAAGAAAGAAAGAAAGAACAAAAACACACTCACTTACAGTTCATCCCATTCTTTTTTTCGCTGCTGAATCTTAAGTTGGGCCCTTTCAGCTTTTAATATAAGTTTCTTTGTTTTCTCAATTTGATTTTCCACCATAATTTCGCTTAGGGTTTTAGGCCGAAATTTCTTCCCTTTCTCTATAATTGATTCTTCCTGCACACCAATGCTCCCACCTGTATAGAGAGTCAACATTTTTTTTTCAATCTTCTTGAAACATCAAAATGAAATTCTCAAATATTTTTTTAAACCTGTCACATTTTAAAAACAGAATATAATGAATCTGTAAATCACAGTATTTGTTAAACAACTAAAATGAATTTAACCCCATAATAAGTATCTTAGAATATCAAAATAAAGAGATCTAAGTCATAGGATTTGCTCTAAAGGACCTTATTGAAAAGTTGGCAAGACATATATAAAATAATTAGAAAACAAGATAAATAATGAGGGGCCACTGACAGACAAACTGAGAAGTTGGGTAGGAATATTTGTGAGATGGGGGGAAAGCAAGCAAGTCCTATTTGGCATGTATATTTGAGATGACATATACCGACTGCAGTGGTCTGTGGCCAATTGAAAAACTGGTCAGAAACACGCAAACAAACCTGTGATTTAAGAATTACATATCTGCTGAGGCAATTTCTTACTTTATGTTCAAGCTACAGAGAGATATACTTTGGAAAAAAAGTTAAATAATAATATGGGATGGTCATATAGTTATAACTCATAATTTCACCTTTCATATTTCAAATATATGGGAATATGGAAAAGCAGGAGTTTAAGTTGGCTTGGGTGGTCATATTTTATAACAAAAGTGTAATTCAATCTGGAATCTCTAAGAACTGTTAGAATTCAGAGAGGAGGGGAATGAATTGGTCACTCCAGTAGGAACCTGGGTAAAAAAGAATCAGGCATAATTAGGGAGCAGTGAGCAAGACAATAAGCTAAAAATACCAGTAGAACAGAATGGAAATGCACCATTAATAGGAAACAGACTAGGGATATACTGTGGAATGATTAAATACCACGAAAACGATTTCAGAATTTATCTGAAAGGAGCCATGAAAGTTTTCTCAATGAAGAGGATAAAGCAGCATTAATGTCAGTACTATATCATGGGCACCAACTGTGCTGTCCTTTATTTATTTTTGATTGGGCTCTCCAAGTCATTCCCAGAATTCTTGCCTTCCTCCTACTCATCTGCAGTCACCCTGTGGGCAGTTACAAGAGGCAGGTTGCAGAGATTAAGAGGTACTCTTTTCAAACCTGAATTCTCAGCTCATCATTCTGTTTAAAGCATATGCTCTTGGAAAATAGTTTGAAATGTCATGTTCTATCCCCACACTCTGGGGTAGGGCCCAAGAATCTGCAAGGAAACACTGCCTAGAAATGAGCAACCAAGAAAGCCTAAATTTAAGAATAGTTAGATGTTGGAAGTGAAAAATTAGCAGCATCAAGTACTCTAACCCACTCAGTCACATAACCAGGGTGGGTTTTCTTTAGCAGCCTGCATTAAAGAGCTGGTGTGGAGCATTTGCTGGAGGAACATGGCTTCCCATTCTCAGCCATACCACACATCCCATCTCCCTTGATTTTTATTCCAAAGGAATAAATAAAGGGAGACAAGAGATGGAGCTCAAGCCAACAAAAAGTGTTCAAAGGTTCTGCCTACAAAAAGAAAATTCAGTTTTGAAACCTTAATAAGTAAGGATTTAAAAGCCTTCTTGTTATTTAGGCTACCTGTATCTTTCCGGCTGTCCTTTCTTCCAGCTCCCTCTTTTTCTAACCTCTCCAATTTGCTTGTTCTTCTGTCTGATAGACTTGTTCGTTTGGACTTGGAATACTTAGAGGGCTTCACAAGCCTATAGGAGGATATCTTGTGATCACTTTGTATGGCATGAACCACGATAGTATCACTTTCCAATGACTCACGAAATCTGAAAAAAAAAAATAGAACAAGTATTTGCAATAGTCAGCGTTTTAATCAATTATACCATTTTAACAATTCTGCATGATTAATAAAATAAGACGACAACACACTATGCTTACAAATGATATTATATTGTGCTAGATCCAAAATTTGACAATGTATATTAACCAATGTGATGTGACGGAAGTTGCATAAGACTCAGTTAAAGAGCAAGTAGAATTTTCTTTCTAATGAAAACATTTAACAAAACATTATTAATCAGTATAATGCCTTTGTTTTGCTAATATGTAGAAAAATGAAAAACTTTCAGACTGTAATTTAATGGTAAGTGGATCATATCAAATTCTGACAAAATCCACCTACCATCTCATATGAGGTATCTCATATATATACACGCACATGTGTGTGTGTGTGTGTGTGTGTGTGTGTGTGTGTGTGTGTGTATGGCTCATATATATTACCCTTTTTGCCTCTAAAAAAATATTAAACTCAGGATTATTACCATCTAGTTCACTTTTCTTTTATAGCTCACAGGAATTTGTTCTCTATCAATTAATGGTGAATTGTTGCTATTTTTTGGCACTGGTTCATAATTATTCCCCAAATCTCTTAACTTTAGAATTTTACTTATTTATGTATGTAGCAATTATCCTTAGTTTATCTGCCTTTCTTACTATTTTTTAATCCAATCCTTTGAACTCTATTTCTTCTTTTAAATGGCTTACTATTTCTAATTTTCCCTTTTCTCTTATAGCATAGTATTTTTCTCATCACGATAAAACTTATTCTCTTCATCTTCTTGACTGCTGGAGTTTTACTTTAAATTTTAGTCTTTCCATAAAACACAGAAAACATGATATGGATGGTTTTGGTCCCATCAAAATTTAAAACTTCTGCATAGTTAGAAAAATGTGAACAAAGTTTAAGGCAAATGGCAGAGTAAAAGTGTTTCCAATATGTATAATAAAAAAAAATACTTACAGAAATAGTGAATAAAACTAAGGGGAGAAATAGAATTCAAAGGAAAATGAACAAGGAATCTTTCTCAGAAGATTAAATATAAATGAACTATAAATGTATGAAAAGAAATGCTCAGAAGAATATCAATGAACTACAAACATAAGAAAAGAAATGCTTAACTTCACCAGTAATCAGAAAAAAGCAAATTATTCAAGCAAGAGTTATCACATTTGGTCTATTAGATTGGTGGAGATGAAAACACTGGTAGTACCCAGTGTTACCCAGTGGTACAACTTTATTCTCTCCCCCATTCCAATCAGATAGCAAGGTAACTTATTTCCTTCCATATAATTAGTGAAGACACAAAGCTGAGGAGGGTGCAGCCTGGACAGGGAGAGAAAGCAAGGAATTAAGGAAGCAAGTAGTTGAAGGCAAGAAGATTGGGGAAGAGGTTCCACATGACAAGTGGGGATGATAGGCAAATTATGTCCTAGAGCTGTGGGTACATATTCCCTGCTTCTGGCAGCTTCTGGGGAGATACAAGTTCCCAAAGATAAGGACTGCATGTGTATTCAATCCTGGGAACAGAGGCTCCTGGCCTCATCAAAAGCTACCTGCTCCAAAAGAGTACAAAAACCATAGACTCAAACAAATAAAAAGAAGCAGGCAGGCTGAGACAATGAGCCTCACTAGTTTAAGAGTCATACTCACCATATGTATACATTCACAAATACAGTATGAATATTTATTAAAGCCAAACATAGCATATATTATATTGAAGTTTCTTCCTGAGAACTTCTTAGCTACTTTCATCTCTTGGCAGGTAGTCATCTAGATATAATTCCAAGATTCAAATATTCAGGTATTAATATCAGGTAACAAGTACCATGAATCACAGAGCAGAGTACCAGAGAGGAAACTGTTGCATAGGGAGAGATCTCTGAAGATCTCTCTTCCAGGCTTCAGGCAATTATTGATCACTACATGCATGTGATGAGTCCACCTGAAGCTGGGGAAAGAATCACCAGAAGAGAGCAGGCAGAATAATCCCCAGGCCTCACATAGGTTGGAAGAGCTTGTGTTCCCACAAGCCCCATAATACATAGGACATAGGATAGAGTACTCAGAAGGATTTTATCATAGCAGTGAGGAAAAATCAGCTCTAGACGAAAGGCTGCCTAGACTTAATTTGCCTAACACAGATTAAAAGCAAGGCTCAAAAACTCAGACTATTTCCAAGTAACTTAACTGAATCCCAAAATAAGACTTGAGAATATTTAAAAGTAACAAAAAATACCCGGCAGTCATGTGAAATGTGGTGAAATTCATAATGTCTGGCATCTAATCAAAATTTTTCAGGCAGGCAAAGCAGCAGAATATAACCCAAAATAAGAAAAAAATTTCCACTAATAGAATAGACCCAAAAAACACACAGATGATATAACTAGCAGACAAGCACATTAAAGCAATTATTATATTTTATATGTTCAGGAAATAGAGAAAAGCATGAGCACATTAAAGTGAACAAAATCCTTACCTATGATACTAGGAAATCAATAAATAATGATTAATAAATTCATATAAATACACTATTTAGATGTATGGTTATAACCACTAGAAGAGATATTAAAAGTGGATTCTCTTTCAGATCTATCATATTTATGGATTAAAATACTCAATATTTATTTTAAAATCTATTATGTCAAAGTTCTTCTATAGATTCAGTGTAATTCCAGTCAAAATCTTAGCAGGTTTTTTGAGGAAAATTGACAAGATGCAAATGACCTATGCAATACTGAAGATGAAGAACAAAGCCAGAGGGCTTATAATATCAGATATTAAGAATAATTAAAACAGTGTTATACTAGCACAAACACAGACAGGCCAATGGAATAGTATGAAGAGTTCAGAAATGAATATATATATATGTATATAAATATATAGTATATATAGTGTATATATATGTGTATATACATATACATATATTGTGTATATAATGAATATATATACATATACACACACATACATATATACATACACATATATATGTAAATATATATATATAGTTACTTGATTTATGACAAAACTATCACTACAGTCTAATGAGGAAAGGATGGTCTTTTCAACAAATGATACTAAGTCAATTGAACATCCATTTAGAAACAAACGACACATGGGAGGAAAAGATGGCAGAGGAGTAGGGGATCCTATTCCAACCGGTCCATGGAATTGAGCTGGATATCTACCAGACCACTCTGAATGCCCACAAAATCAGCCTGAGATGTCAGAAGATAGATCTGGATTCCTACAAACAGAATATTGCAAGCAGTTGGTTTCGAGGTATGAAGCAGGGAGCTGTGATTCCATGGGCACGTATCGGAAGATAAATGGAAAGGGGAGGGAGCCATGGGGATCCTGCACCACCAGTGAGCGATAGCCTCTGGTGCTGGGGAACAGGCAAAGACTCGCAGACTGGTAATTATGGGGAAAGGACTTTAGGGCAGCCCCGACTGAAACCCAGAGCGGGGAGGGCCGTGCCTGGAACTGGGAGCAGCTGGCGGTTTTAGAAGCACAAAGGGCAGAGACGTGCTTGACCAGGAGGCAAGGACTGGGAGCCCTGCTGAGGGGCACACAACCCAGGACGCTGCAGTTTATAGCAGCATAGACAGAAACAGAGATAGTGTGGCCTGGAGAGCTCACTGAAGAACAGACTGTGATCTCTCTGCTCTGAGGCAGAGGGTTGGAAACAATCTCTTCTGCTCTGACTCTCGGAAGAGATTTTGAAAGCCACCAGGGAGAGCTGCCAGAGAATAAAAGCGCCCCCCAAAAATGGTTTTCACTGAGCTCATCCCCTGCCACAGGGGGCAGGACAACTCTGCCCAAATAGGGTTGCCTGAGTAACAGTGGCAGGCCCCTCCCCCAGAAGACAGGCTGGGAAAACAAGAGGCCAGCAACCCTAAAGTCCCTATAAAACAAGTGCCTCTTGCTTGGGTTGTGGTCAATAATTTGGACTCTATACATTCCCTCAAGCACCCTTCAACAGAATGACTAGGAGGAGGAACCCCCAAAATAGGAAAGACTCAGAGACTATGACTTTTGCCACAGATTTACAAATGGATACAGATATATCCAAGATGTTGGAGATGGAATTCAGGGTAGCAATTGTAAAAATGATAGCTAGAATGGAGAAATCGATTAATGGCAACATAGAGTCTCTAAGGGCAGAAATGAAAGCTGAACTGGCAGAACTTAAAAATACTATCAATAAGATCCAATCTAATCTAGATAATCTAACAGCTAGGGTAAGCAAGGCAGAAGAACGAATTAGTGATCTAGAAGACCAATTAATAAACAAGAGGGAAAAAGAGGAAGCCAGGGAAAAACAACTCAAAATCCATGAAAATAGAATCAGAGAAATAAGTGACACCATGAAACGTACCAATGTCAGAATTATTGGGATCCCTGAGGGGGTGGAGAGAGAGAGAGAAGACCAGAAGATATATTTGAGCAAATGGTAGCTGAGAACTTCCCTAATCTGGGGAATGAAACAAACATTCGTGTCCTAGAGGCAGAGAGGACCCCTCCCAAGATCAAGGAAAACAGGCCAACACCCTGGCATGTAATAGTAAAACTCACAAATCTTAGAACCAAGGAAACCATCTTAAGGGCAGTTAGGGGGAAGAGATTCCTTACATACAGAGGGAGGAACATCAGAATAATATCAGACCTATCCACAGAGACCTGGCAAGCCAGAAAGGGCTGGCGAGACATATTCAGGGTACTAAACGAGAAGAACATGCAGCCAAGAATACTTTATCTGGCAAGGCTGTCATTTAGAATGGATGGAGAGATGCAGAGCTTCCAAGACTGGCAGAAACTGAAAGAATATGTGACTACTAAGCCAGCCCTGCAAGAAATATTAAGGGGGGGGGGGTCCTATAAGAGGAGAAAGACCCCAAGAGTGATACAGCAGAAATTTACAGAGACAATCTACAAAAACAAGGTCTTCACTGGCAACATTATGAATTCATATCTTTCAATAATCAC